GAAGTCGGAGGAATTCCGCGAATACAGCGTCCATGATCGCTGAGTACCCAGGTGGGGCGGCCCCGGGTTTTGAAAACACTCGCCTTGCGGCGAGGCCCCAACTTCTCGGACCTGAGCGGTTCTATTGAACACAGGTGGCAATGCGGCGCGATTACTACAGGACAAAGAAAAAGCAAAACAAATCAGAAATAACAAAAAGAAACAAAACAAATAAATACTTGCAGGAAACCACTTTGTCGGCAAATGTACCACGAACACAAAAATAACTAAAACGAAACAAATAAAAGCTTCCAGGAAAAACACTTGGTCGGCAGATGTATCACGATCACAGGCCGCGCGAACAATGGCCGGGCTAACAAAAGCCGGGCGAACAAAGACCGGGCGAACGAGTGGTCGATGAGCACGTCCGCACGTGACGGGTGCCTCTATCGGAATGTGATAACTAGAGATGTGAATAACGTTCAATAGTAAAGTTACCGTTTTACAGCACTATAGGCATTTGAATTTGACAATAAATTCGAAATTTAATTTACTAAAAACTATAGAAATCTATTTTCAAATTCAGTTATTTTTTATTAATTAGAGTTTTATTTTTACTACATTTGTATCTTTTCCATCAATATGGATGTAATAAAAATGCGAGTTAATATGGAACTAGTGGTCCCGCAGTAGTCGAAATTCGACTATAATTAATTGGAATTGTAGATTTCTACACTATTATGATTGTATTTTCAACGCCAAGACTACACTATAGAAAAATATTAATAAAGACAAACAATATTTAATCTATTCTCAATTTGACCACAGACGTCAAGATCAAAAGTTTGACAGTAAATAAATAGTATGCATGTGTGTGTAGGTATGTCAAATACATGATAGTGTGTGTAATGTTTTCTTTATTGATTTAATGTATCTTTTATGCATAATTAAAAAAAAATATTAGCATTGTGCACTTCTTCTCTATATCTAATATATAAAATTCTCGTGTCACAATGTTCGTTCCCATACTCCTCCGAAACCGCTTGACCGATTCTCATGAAATTTTTTATGCATATTCAGTAAGCCTGAGAATCGGCTACTATCTATGTTTCATACCCCTAAGTGATTAGGGTTGTCCCCCCCTAACATATTTTTTTTATTTGGACTTTTTTTTTTGTTATAATGAGGTATTATATGGTTGAATGAGGTTTTGTTATTTTTATTATATATTTCCTCAACGTTCACAGCGCTAAATGCCTCTTTCACTCATTTACCACATCCTTTCACACTTACAATAAGTTAGTTTTTTTTCCTACACTAGAAATTCCCTAGAAATCTTATATATGGCAAAACAATGTTTGCCGGGTCAGCTAGTTCTCTATAAGTGTGGAAAATTTCATACTCCTCCGTCCGCACAATTTCCGTAAAAAGGGATACAAAGTTTTTGCTTCACGTATTAATATATAGATATGAGTTCCGTCGTGGCAGCAACGCCGAACAAACGGTTCTTCTGTGTACGTAATGTGTACGGAGTGAACACTACAAATGGACGCACGACCTGTTATTGGTTAGAACGCTTCCAACATGGAAATCTTGATGTAAATAAGTAACCCGTCGCCCGAGAACTAAAGTCAACAACAACGAATTAAATGCCATAGTGCAAATACTACTGACGATACTCAATTAATTGCTTAGTTAGCAGCAATTTTCAACGTTAGCATCAAAACAATATTGGTCTATTTCTATCCATTGTACTCATCAGACCTTGCACTGACTGACTTCTATTTTTTCCATAGCTTGGACAACTTTTTTGTTGCCCTAAACACTTCGCTACAGATCCACCCGATCCATTAACGGTGCTTTTAGGTACCTCAAGCACCGCCCTTCTCAGTGGGTTGCGTTTTCGATCCGGTGATAGATTCTGCGAAGGCCAGTGTTAGCAACACCTCCGGCTTGAGCCCCGAGAACTCACCTACACGTTAGGGCAACGCTGATATAGCCTCTCAAGGCTATCAGCATAGGTAGGAAAAATGCCAGGGACAAAATTCAATGTCCAAGAAACAGTATAAAATGACTTTGAACAGATTGTTGCCTGCCGTATACTTGAATTCATTAAAAAGGACTTTCAAAAATTACCACAAAGATGCAGTCATAATATGAATGCATATTTTGCTTCATAAAAAAATATATTTATAAAAAATGACTATAGCTTTAGACCTAATATGATAATATTATCAGTATTTCAAATATTGTCATTTTCACTACTGTAAAAAGTTAGATAGAATAGATAGAATATAAGTTGAAAAAACGATGTATGTCTTATAGAGTGGTAGGGTAAGTACTAATAAAAAGGTACTAACTACTAAGTAATATTAAAATAGCTTGAAAAGTACATTAAAAATAGAATAGATTATAAATTATTCCTTCGCATTAACTCACCTACAACTCTCATATAAGCACTTTTATAGACAGTATGGAAGAAGGGTGCGTCCGCTGACACTTCACACCGGTACCTGCCACTCAAACCACGGCTTGCCCCTCGCAGGACCACCTGCTGCGCACCCGATCGTGAAACCTGAGCAAAATCCAATTAAATTTGACCCGCAATTCAAATCTTTAAGTTTTACCAGACATTGTTTTGATAGTTTTGTAGTAGCATTTTCGAGGAAAACTGCCCTCTACTGTGAATTATGGAGTAGACAAATAGAACATAAAATAAAATAAAAATATGTTTCGAATTTATAACAGGGACCATATCGACCTTGAAAGGCAAATGTGACTAAGCGACAATCGGTGAGCTTTACAGTAGACTAATTTAAAGTTGAAATACCTGGAAAAAAAAATTATTTTAACGAATCTAGCTGTAGTAGAATCTAGCTAGTAGCTGTAGGATCGAAATGATTTTAATAGACCTTTTTTTTGTATTGCCCTTGGAGGCAGACGAGCATACGGCCCACCTGATGGTGAGTGGTTACCGTCGCCCATGGACTTCAGCAATGCCAGGGGCAGAGCCAAGCCGCTGCCTACTAAAACCTAAAAATATATTTTTTTTGCGCATCGAATATGGTTATTGCCTATCATTTATGTACAAAGCAGTTATTGTCGCTTAGTCACGTTTGCCTTTCAAGCGTCGATATGCATTATAACATTTTGTTAAACAGTCCACAAATGAAAAATGTAGCTAGAAAATTTAGATCCGTACACACGGCCTCAATTGAGCTAAAAGCTTCGATCCATCGCAGAACTCGGTCCACTGTAAGAAATCCCCTGAACTAAATCATGTTCGTTCATAGCCGAAGACGACTGACCCGATTCTTAAGGAGCCCCTGCACCACACTCGTACTGCGACTCGAGTCATAGTGAATCGAACTTTGAATATTCGTTATATCTCGAAGGGGATTTTAATGTATTATTTTGGCACAACGCTTTAAGCTCGTGGCCCAATGCCAACTGCTAAAGGTTGAACGTGGCAGCACTATAATCTTAAGTGATTTTTTCACGAAGGCAGTCTAACGAACTAGCAAGATGTCGCAGTCGTTGACCCATATATAATCACAGTTATGACGTTGTTTACAATCTTACCGTAAGTAAGCCATTTGCGTAGGAAACGTTTTTCCTCTTTTATTTTCACGTTTACTTCACGGACAAGTTAATAGCGGAGGCAAATCGTTTTTCTTAAACTTTTAGTTTCTTTTGTAATGCTTTTAGTATTGTCTGTAGAGCTGATTATGTTTAAGCTTAAGAAAAGACTGCTTTTAAAAAGAAACGGAATAACTTTTTTTACATCCGCAAAAAAGCTAATTTGTATTGTACGTTGGAAGCAATAATTTTAAAAATCAAAATATGGTAGCATTTATTTTATCCATATTTAATACCTACCTTTATTCTTTCGGTATTAAGCTGCATTTGTCTCATAATTTTAATGCTTAAGGCACTTAGAAAAATTTAATTGGCCATAATTCAGTTGCTGTATAGAAGCAACTTTCACAATTAACTTAAGTTAACTAGCATAGTTTCATTTTACTTAAATTAACATGAAGGAATAACTTCTTAATTATACCTCAATGTTTGACAATGTCTCAGTAAATGGAAAAAAAATATACGCGCTGTACTCATACCGCGTTTGGACACTATAGCGGAAGTCCAATCTTGCGTCGGTATTAAAATAAAGTAGTACTTGTAATACTGTGGATCCTGAGTTTCTACGGCAGCAGCAAACGAGTAATCCTGGCACTGCCAGTGTCTATGGGCGACAGTGACCAGTTCTCTACCAGTGACTAGCTCATTTTCTTAATTCCTTATCTGCTTACTGGAGCTATTAGAAAGACAGCAACTTACTTCTGCTGTGAAGCAATCTTTCTTTGCCTTGAAGGGTGGAACGGTGAATAAATAAAACTCAATTCCATCCAAGATTTATAAACGTAATACTCACATCAACACTAATACCAGTTTGCGAGAAGACACGGGTATTTGGAAGTTCTTTCGGTACGAATCGGAAGAACTCTTGTGCTCCGTGGTACCATTTAACCGTATACAACGTTTCTCCTGTATCCAGCGCCCATCGGCAGCCGAGGATCGCACTGGAACCCACGCCCACTGCCTCTGGAACGCTGAGTTGGATGTCTCGAAGACCCAGCACACCTGGACACAAGCATTCGCGTATGTAATATATTAATGCTTAGTTACCGTCTTTTATTGATACGTGTAGGCAACACCACCCTGCCTATTTCTGACGTGAAACAGCAATACGTTTCGGTTGAAGGGTGGGACAGCCCTTGCACCGTAAAAACTGAGACCTTAGAACTAATACCTCAAGGTGGGTGGCGGCATTTACGTTGTAAATGTCTATGGGCTCCGGTAGCCACTTAACACCAGTCGGGCCGTGAGCTCGTCCACCCATCTAAGCAATACAAAAATGTGAGCTTAAAAAAATAATTTTATACATAAATACACTAAAACCGAAAATATACTGTCATTAAGAATGAGTACGAGAAGAAAAAATTAATAAAAAGAAAACTAAAGTTAATAATTGATTTCTAATTGCTGGGTTCATTTTTTCCACAGAAATGCCGTTATTAAGACAGTGATTTTATGTACGTACGTTATTATTAATTATTATTTGGAAACATTGTATTATATCTAAAAAACTTTAGAGACTAAAACCGTTATTTGACTTTATTATTTTTATATTACTTTTACTGCATACTACATTTGGATCAACCTCTTCCAAAATATTATTAAATGTTCAATTTATAAAATTAAAAACATACATAATATTACTTATACTCGTGTAATGTTAGTAAACAACCACAAAAAAGATAATCATATTATTCTTGTAATAGATTCCATTTCATTTTCAATGTTCAACAGAAGATTTGTGTTCAGTATTTGCACAAATACTCTTAATGTTGTTGAACAATGTTTTTTTTTATTGCTTAGATGGATGGACGAGCTCACAGCCCACCTGGTGTTAAGTGGTTACTGGAGCCCGTAGACATCTACAACGTAGACGCGCCACCCACCTTGAGATACAAGTTCTGAAGTCTCAGTATAGTTACAACGGCAGTTACAATGTCAGGTATTTTCAGTGAACGGAGCACACACGTGATCTATTCTCGTGAATCTGCTGTGAACATAAAGTAATTTCATTTGATTGCCTTGCTTTTAGACGTTTTAAAAGTTTACGCGATGTCAAAATACCCACATAATTATTCTCAGATACGCCAAGGCCCACATTATACCGACGTAGATTGTAAACATGCTGTAAATAGAATACCGAGGAAATTTGTTATCAAATTGAGGTGTCAATTTTGCTATGTGAATCTAGACACATATTTGTTTCTTGGAAAAACTAGGTAAGAATAAAGTACCGTCTTGGTGGTGCACAACATTCACAGAGAATACCAAACCATCAAAATTTGATAAATTGAAAGATCTATCAAATTACGGGTCGCATTAAATGTGTTATTACCTTATATGGATAGGGACGATACCAAAATTTCCAGAACGAATTCCAAGAGTAAGGAACGCCGCATAATAAAATCAAACTTGAATAAATTATTAATTTGCATAAGTACTGAGGATATGTGTGACCGACATGAAGAGGCATCGCTATCTTACTAGCATTTAAATTTGATACGTTTCAATTCTTATTTTGTGTTCCTGCCATAGCATATAGATGGCATTCGCATGTCTGACCATTTAGGGCACTAAAAACAATTTTCTATTTCTATCTGAAGCTTTATTTGTAATTTCTTTACTAGTAACTAAGTTTGGAAGTTAAAGGTCTCGGCGAGCCGAAATTCAGCCCGGTGCAAGTAATCAAATCATGGCCCTCGGCTATAGGCACTAAAGGTGGTCGGAATACATAAATCAAGTGATCAGTACGTGATCGAATTCAAGATCAAGCCAATACAAAATTCTCGTCGACATGAACTCATTACGATGTAACCAAATTCAATTTACGGTTTCAACCACATCACAATATTTCATCTCGATGCGGGTTTAATATTTATGCGTAACGTAAATTCATCCCAGTTTAAATAAAAATAAATATGTACTTTAGGTGTTTGGGACGCCGTGTGTTTTTTATGTAAACAAGAATTGAATTTTGAATCAAGAGAAGTTCAGTTGCCTCAAAGATGTTTGCGTTTAATTTGCTCAGATATCAGAATGTTATTAAATAAGGAAGATGTTTTGAGATTACTACAAATCTGTAATGTAAGTAAGTTCCAACGTATTTTATTTCAATTCATAACTTCTGCTGTCGATGTATGATCTCGCCCTAAGTTTACTTGTCCTTATTTCGTATGTTCTATACTTAGTCTGGCCATAAATACTGTTACAATTAAAAATAAACAATATATTACATTTTTTTATTTTTTTTTATTGATTAGATGGATGGAGCTCACAGCCCACCTGGTGTTAAGTGGTTACTGGAGCCCATAGACATCTACAACGTAAATGCGCCACCCACCTCGAGATATAAGTTCTAAGGTCTCAGTATAGTTACAACGGCTACCTCACCCTTCGAACCGAAACGCATTACTGCTTCACGGCGGTGGTGGTACCTACCCGTGCGGACTCCCAAGAGGTCCTACCACCAGTGAATTTGAATTTGAATTTGGAATCTGTCATTTTTGTATGATTGCTCATTGAGTTTTCTCATTTTGGCGCCAATACATTGTACAATATTTTGCGATATTAAAATGGAGTGTTAAAATAAAGAGAACCGAATCACTGTGATTGCATTAAACAAAATAGGTATGGAGCCAAATGCAATTTTTAAAACTCTCTATACGCTTGGTATTAGTAAAATGTTTGTGTACCGGGCTATTAATAGGTGCAATGAGACCTCCTCTGCTTGTGACAGAAAAAGATCTGGCCGTCCACGTAGTGTTCGTACGAAAAAGGTGGTCAAAGCAGTAAGGGAAAGAATTCGAAAAAATCCTGTCCGAAAGCAAAAGATTTTATCTCGGGAGATGAAGATAGCACCTAGAACCATGTCGCGTATTTTAAAAGATGACTTAGGACTTGCAGCTTATAAGAGACGTACTGGTCATTTCTTAACTGAAAATTTAAAAGAGAATAGGGTAGTAAAATCGAAACAACTACTGAAGCGGTACGCAAAAGGAGGTCATAGAAAAATTTTGTTTACGGATGAATTTTTTTTTACAATTGAGCAACATTTTAACAAACAAAATGACCATGTTTATGCTCAAAGCTCTAAGGAAGCTTCCCAATTAGTCGACAGAGTGCAACGTGGGCACTATCCGACTTTAGTGATGGTTTGATGGGGTATTAGCCATGAAGGAGTGACTGAACCATACTTTTGTGAAAAAGATATCAAAACATCGTGTGTATCAAGTGTATCAAGATACCATTCTTGAGAAGGTAGAGAAGCCCCTTAACAACACCATGTTCAATAATCAAGAATGGTCCTTCCAGCAAGACTCGGCGCCAGGTCATAAAGCTCGGTCCACGCAGTCTTGGTTGGAAACGAACGTTTCGGACTTCATCAGAGCTGAAGACTGGCCGTCGTCTAGTCCCGATCTTAATCCGCTGGATTATAATTTATGGTCAGTTTTAGAGAGTACGGCTTGCTCTAAACGCCATGATAATTTGGAGTCCCTAAAACAATCCGTACGATTGGCAGTGAAAATTTTTTCCATGGAAAGAGTGCGTGCTTCTATTGATAACTGGCCTCAACGTTTAAAGGACTGCATTGCAGCCAATGGAGACCACTTCGAATAAGCTTTTTATACTTTAAATTGTTTTATATTTATGTATTAAACTAACACACTGTAAAAGTAATAAATATTATTTGCAATAGAATTTTTTTTTCCTTTCTCTCAGTATTTATGGCAAGACTAGGTATATATTTCTGGTACTCTATATTAATGTTGTATGCACGCTGTAATGCGTAACCAGTTAGGGCAGTCCAACGAATAAAAGCAAACATAAAAAATTAACCTACTATTCTTGGTCTTATTACATTCTGTTTGTTTTCAGGAGCAAAAAAATTAAAGAAAGCGTTGTAGACAGAACAAAACAGGTTTATGTCTTAACCCTTTTTCTAATAAAATCATCTAAATTGATTTCTATGCGGAAAGTTTGCGTCACATCAACAAAACCACCGTTGTAATCAAGTTATTTAATTTCCAAATACATTTCTCTTAGTTGGCCATAAATGTCAAGGAAGCAAAATAATTCACTGAAAGTTTCGCAACACAGTGGAATGCCTTCAGATGATGTATAAGTAACAAGAATATGAGTGTATATTGAGTCTGTACTGTGTATAATAAATGAATGGAAAGGTCTTGCGTGTTCGGAACCAACAATTTTTGCGATCTCCCATTGAGGCGAGAGATTGGCACTTTAGAGAATTTTCGAGAAATGCCCGGTCTTCGGAGGATTCCGATAATCAGCTTTACTTAAGGGATTGGATTCGAAAACTCGATTGTATTCGGAGTGATTTTAATAATTCATCACTTCGATACAGTTATTCTATGCCACAGGATAAAAGACATGATTGAAAAGACGTTCCGACCTACTTATAAATTTACTTGTCATATTCGTGAATAATTTATCATACTTTGATAGGTACTTCATGTATATTGAAACTACCTATTTTCTGATTTAATTTCATGCTAATAAAGAACAAATTTTAGTTAAACTTTTTCTGAACCACGGCTACAAGAAAAACTGATAGTGTTCTCACTGCTTATAAGGGAAAAGAAAAATAAACCATCCCAATTCAATGCTCGCGACCTAGGATATTTTTATAATATTAAGAGATTTAAATTAATGAATTGGATTTCATTTCTTCTTCCTGTCCTTATCCCACACTATATAGGGTCAGCGCATCATGTCTTCTTATCATGCTCCATAGGGATTTGACATAAGTTTTACGACAGGGCGTCTCCCTGACGTGTATCCTCCTTGGGTTATATCTCCATGTATCTATTGCAACGTGCCATTGGGTAGGGTTTTTCTGTTTCGTCTTTTGGTGTTTGTTTTACTTCATCCGTTTTGATGTTTTGCAAGTTTATTATTGTAAACAATTAAATGAAAAGTTGAATTTTCAAATACCAATAAATAAAAGTATAATGAATTAGATTAATTAGGCCTTTCTATATTTACTACGAGAGGTAGAGCTATATACATATCTATATGTAAATTCTAAAGAAAGTAGCCGTTTTAAATCCAGATAGATCCCTCAACCGTAAGCGTAGGTAGCGGTATACTTATTGTGACCTATTTAGAAGTTTCACGTCTAGAACAAGTAATAATAAAGAAATAAATTAAAAAAAGGTTTGCAAACGCAAATGCGCCATCCACTCCGAGATATAAATTCCAAGGTCTCAATTATAGTTGCAACGGCTACCCCACCCTTCAAACCGAAACGCATTACTGCTTCACGGCAGAGATAGGCGGGGTGGTGGTACCTACTCGCACGGACTCACAAGAGGTCCTACCACCAGTAATTACGCAAGTTATAATTTTGCGGGTTTCATTTTTATTACACGATGTTATTCCTTCACCGTGGAAGTCGATCGTGAACATTTGTTGAGTACGTATTTCATTAGAAAAATTGGTACCCGCCTGAGATTCGAACACCGGTGCATCGCTCAACACGAATGCACCGGACGTCTTATCCGTTAGACCACGACGACTTCTAAAGGAGTTCAATGACAAACACACGCACAGAAGAAATATATAATATATTAAGATAAATTTAAAAAAGTGTGTCAAACTATTTGACCTGACCTGAGACAGGTAATTACCGATTTCGTCTTTTAAATACTGTCTAAGGGATTTTATCATTATACTTACTTCCGCCGAGCCAGAGTAAGAGGGCGGCGAGCTTGGAAGTCATCTTGTAAGTTGTAGAGGTGAGGTCGCGACCACACGTCATGTCACGACCGCTTCGTGACGGCTCTGGTGCGCCATCCTCACAAGCTCCTTCATATTTAAACCGACTTGGACAGGTTGTTCTTTCGCATGCCGGCCTTTACAAAGATCCACTCCGTAACATTTTTTGTCCTTTTTCGTTTAATTGTAGACGTAATCTGCAAAAGAACATTTCTATTTTAAACGCCATATTTTAAATACATAGAATGTAAAGAGGAATGTACCTGGTATTTATTTATTAGATGTATTTGTTATACATAGTATATGTTGGTTTGCCACAACTACTTCAGACACTCGGTCCGTAATTAGCGACGTTACAATACAACTTCAATAGTAATCTGTATTAATATGGTAATCTGTTCACTACATACTCGTATTATGTGTTACAGCAGGTATCAATATGGCTTAATAGTGTTTTCACATTGAATCATAGCTAATTAATGAGCGATACCAACTGATATTATTTATACCGAACGTATTCATTTATGAAATAATTTACTTTGACTGTGCTTATTTCTATAATAAGTTATTATTTTATAACACAGTATAAAGTAAGTAACTTGTTTTTAAGCTATTTGCATAGATTTTATCGCGGGCCTTGAGCGCGGCTTGAGAGCGGAATCGTGAAATGCCGTAACGAAAAAAACCTTCCACCCCTCACTCCGCCTATCATGTTGCTCGCGTTCAACACATTCACTCGTTGCGCTTGTGTAGTGTTTAAAGTAAGAAGTCTAAACACCGATTTATGTACTATCAAAGTATCTGATATAATTTCGTGGGTAACACAACGATAGCGCGATTCAGCTTTTGCGTCAAGCGCCATCTATCGGCGACAAACGGAATTGTAAAATAGAAAATTATATCACATTACAATGCGTTGGGTGTGCCATTTTCTATCGCTTAGTCGAAGAATTTTATTACTACTCCTACTACACATTCAGTGATTGGAGTGGCATTAAAAATAAACTAGCTAAACCGTTGATTCTGGGTCAGTGAGAGTTAGAACTAGTATCCAAAAGCGTGTCTCCATCCCATGTAGCGCCCTTTAGTGAGTGCGCGCTCAAAATGGAATACTCACAATGTAGCAGATTCATTGAAAGTTAGCCCACTGAGTTTCTCGCCGTATCTTATTTTATTGTTGTTTTAATATTAAATTATTATTGTCGATTTATAATTGCATAAGTTGATAAAAATGCTATGCAATAGCTTTACCGCGGCAGTCTCCGAGTGCCACAAGTCTTTTTTAAATAGTGAAGGCCTTGAACCACATAAATATAATTTATACGTTGAAACTCTCAACCCTTATCTTGTGAGGTCTTTGTAAGAGGAAACTGTCCGACAACACACAGAATGTAATGATTTGAAGCACCTATGTTATTTCGTGTACATGCCCACGATTAACCTTGTCATTAGCCATATTTTATTGAGAAGAATATTATTATATTCATTGTCCTGTTTTTCAGTGATAATCAATTTCAGCTAACAGAACAGAAGTTGCCGATGCGTCTTTTCTTCCTTAATATGTAGATTCGTATTTGGAATTGGAACAAACAGCACGTTCAACGGCAATAAAACAGGACGAGAGCAAAGATCTTTTCATTAAACGTATCTTAGACGTCGGTGATTTATCGCCTCTCGCGAGACACTCCATTCACAGCGTGCGTTTTGTTATCGAGAGATCGATTGGTTTCGAATAAAATACATTCGGCAATTGAATAGCTCGGGATAGCGCTATGTTGCAGAGAAAGCGACACTTTTTCGGGCATGTTGAGAACTAATGGGTTCACGCGCTGTTTCGCGACATTCAATAAATGGTCGCTGGTCGTCTGCGCTGTCGTACATTTCGATCGTTGACGCTGCTGGAATGCGAACTATCTATGTATACTCCAACTAACTATAGTACCAGCTGTTTGCGAATTTGTGTTTGTTTGCGAATTAGTTGATACGAACCAATACGATACCTTTAAAGACTGGTTATATATGTCGCTTGAAGTTGGCCATATGATAACAAACAACAAATAAAAAATAATCATTACTCTCAAAGGGTGGTGGGATTATAAGCACAGCTGTCACTGTGATTCATATGGATTTTTGTGCCTTCCCCGATTATGAGACGTCTTGTCAGGTTTAAATCAAGCATAAGCTGGCCTTCTTTAGATATCTTTTCTTCACTTCCCCAGGATAAAGGATGTGCTCTCTGAACACTGACTACCTCCTGCCGTTTAAGGCGCAGCAGCTTTATAATATTTGAAGAGATTTCTACATCCTCCTCCTCCTCACAATATCTGCAGACTGTAAAACTGAATCAACTGCTAGACTTAACTTGTGTATGTGCTTTTTCAACTCGCTGTTTCCACTGAGGCTTTTCACTAGTTCTTTTTTATTGCTTAGATGGGTGGATGAGCTCACAGCCCAACTGGTGTTAAGTGGTTACTGGAGCCAATAGACATCTACAGCGTAAATGCGCCACCCACCTTGAGATTTAAGTTCTAAGATCTCAGTATAGTTACAACGGCTGCCTTACCCTTCAAACCGAAACGCATTACTGCTTCACGACAGAAATAGGCAGGACTAGACTAGAATTCTTAGTTGATTGTGTTCTGTACTGAGAGGATTTCGGGCGTACCATTGGCAGAATAATTGTATTTTAGTTAATGCAAATGTACGGAAATGTACTGTTTTACTTCTATGGTATGTTATATTTTAAAAATACAAAATAATCAAACTAACTATACATAATTTTCTTGGTAAATGCCCTGTTTCGATTATTGAAAAATAAGCCCTAAAACAATTGAAGACGTTTACGAATCCGTAACTTTAGAGCGTACGTATGTCCGTTTTGTAAGCGGACACTTTGGTTAAATCGAGTCTACGTTATAAGCAATTTGTAGACGCGTCGTATATTCATTAGTTTCGTTGTGCAAGGTGCAGGCAAGCCTCCAAGCGGGAGAGTTTGAAAGCCTGAGGTTGTTTGGCAAGCTGTCTAACTAATTGCCGCGTTACCGACGCTCCACTCGGCCCGTTGTTTACGACCACCAGGTAATATATCAAACTGTATAAACTGAGTTAGTGCTTAAATAATAAAACATCAAACATGTGTTGCCTCAACATAAATTAGTTGTCCGCGGTTTGGCTGAGCAACTAGTATAGCTGACGTCCATGAGCCACATTATGCATTTCACTATCTGGTCAAACACATGCTTGTCTGCCTGTGAAGGCAATAAAAATAATAACCGGATGACATTTAATGTTAGGCAGATTTTATGTGAAATGTAGTTGATAGTAACGTAGTAAAATGTGTCTTCTGTTAATTCTCAATGGTTTATTCTTTTTATTAATAATTATTTCAAAAGCTATCTACTATGTAGTAGCAACAACAGTTACTAGTCGCAGCTTCAATATCATTTTTGCCTCATTATTCATATACTTTAAAATATTACTTTAAAAGTGTATTTTCTTTTTTTTATTGCTTAGATAGGTGGACGAGCTCACAGCCCACCTGGTGTTAAGTGGTTACTGGAGCCTATAGACATTTACAACCGTAAATGCGCCACCCACCTTGAGATATAAGTTCTAAGGTCTCAGTATAGTTACAACGGCTGCCCCACCCTTCAAACCCAAAACGCATGTCTGCTTCACGACAGAAATAGGCAGGGTGGTGGTACCTACCCGCGCGAACTCACAAGAGGTCCTACCACCAGTAATAAATTGTTACTAAGGATTTTCACATTATTATTTTTTAAGTAAATTTCTATGAAGCCGTTTAAAATTAAATATTAGAAGCTTTTTGAACCTGTTCCGATTAGCAGTAAAAATCTCATATTGACTAAACGCATAATACAATAGCATAATCCTATAAGCGCAGTTACAACGACATCAACAAAGGCTTATGTGCATAGAAATGTGAAATTCACTTACCGCACGGTTAAGAACGACTATTCATGTTAAAGATTAAACTCGAAAACCAGAAAAGTATCAAACAATTTCATCTAATATATACTACTTTATAGATATTTTTTAAATTAAATATTTCTCGATTTTTTTGCGAATAACTTTCGCGATGGAGATACAACAGCGTGTAAAAATTAAACTCGCGAAAACGATGCTTTGAGGAATTACTGTTGGTAGGGCGTCTTGTGAGCCCACACGGGTAAGTACCTTATCTATTTCTAAAGCAGTTCCCGTTCCCGTTTGAACGGTGAGACAGCGATTATACTAGGAGATAAAGGCTTCATATTTTAAAAAGTGTGGTGGCATTCATGTAATAATGCTTATGGGCTCAGGTAACCGCTTAACATTAGGTAGGCCGTGAGCTCGATCACATCTACCTACGCCACCTCACATCTACCAATTTAAAAAAAAGCATCTTAATGCATAACCTTCTTCTTTCTTCTTTTTTTCCTATTACCCTCTGCTGAGGTGTAGGTCTTGAATCAAATCCTTCCATTTACATTGGTCTTGGGCAGTCTGTTCTAGCTCCTCCCACGTCATGCTCAAGTCGCCTAGCTCCTGCTCCACCGAGCGACGCCAAGTTGTTCTGGGCTGGCCTCTCTTCCTTTTAGCAGACACTTCCCAGGTCAGTGCTCTCTTTGATAGGTGGGTATCGGGCTTTCTCAATATGTGACCAATCCAATGCCACTTCCACGTAAGGATCTCCTTCTCCATTGGTGTCTGCTCGGTGAACCTATCTTAATGCATAATATGTACAATTAATGCACATGTAAGTGACGGATGTACTACGAGTATTTCATTTTATTCACGTCAAAATTACAAATCGTAGAACTTTTAACCTTACGAACTTTATGTAAAGTGATACACGTTTTCAACTCTTCCCGATTCGAGTAATGCATAAATTCTGTTATGAATATTAAGCAGCTCAGAAAATCAAGTGTCAATTTTCGTAAAGAATAGGCCGACAAGCCTTCGCATGTCGCGTTGCAGACGTCACGTCCTCAAAACCCATTACACATGTAACATTTAACACTTCTACCGATTTAACACAAT